TTTATCATCAAAAAATCAAAATGCTGTTCAAGAAAGAAAAAAATTGTGGTACATGTATGGAGATGATGTGTTAAGAGAAAGACAGTGTTGTTCTGGTTCGTTCTGGTAAATTTCAATATTGAAGATGCACCACATTCTGGATAGCCAGTTGAAGCCAATGAAAACAAAATAAAGGTACTGATTGAAGCAAACTGCCAAATAACAACACGTAAAATCACTAAGAGATTAAATCTGTCAAATTGAATTGTTTATGATTACTTGAAACAAATTGGTTGTGTTTCAAAGCTTGATATATGGGTTCCACATGTTCTTAAAGAGAGATGCTCTATTTGGTGGGATTTTAAGGAAATTTTTTTTTTTTTGGAGCTTTTACCAGACAATTTAACAATTGATTCAAAAGTGTACTGCCATCGAGTAAACAAATTGAGTAATATCATTAAACAGAAAACACGGCCAGAATTGATCAACAAAACAGGTGTAGTGTTTTACCACGATAATGTCAAATTTCACACAAGTTTGGTAACTCGTCAGAAACTATTATAACTTAGATGGGACATGTTATCACACCAACCATATTTGCCAGATTGAGCACACTCAGATTATTACGTGTTCTGGTCTATACAAATTTTTTTTTAACTAAGACATTTACTTGAAATGGCAATGTCAAAAATCACTTGGATCAGTTTTTTTGTAAGCAACGATCAAAACTTTTATGAATGTGAAATCATACTACTACCAGAAACGATGACAACAAATATTTGACCAAAATGGTCGAGAAATAATTCAACAAAATATATACGTATTATAAAAATAGTGTGTTTTTTCCACAGAAAAAAAACGAAATTACTTTCCAAACAACCCAATATAATCAATATTGATGTATATTCTTTGAAATGACTTCACTGGGCCAGTAGATTGAGTTAACTCAATAACCTTGATCTATTTCTCCTCCTCCTTAAATACAGTGTTGGAAAAATATGGCATCATTTTGTTTAACTATGTTATAGTTGCACCAAAGTTAAATCTCATTTCTAATATCAAACATAGTAAACATGCTAGGTGCAAGGTGCAATTTCATCCACCTTTCTCTCATAAGAAAGATGATTTTTCAAATATCAGGTATTACTGTAAATACTGTTTCTGTATTTTTAATAAACTCCTGACACTCATTAACCTGTCCCATGTTATTCCTGACTTATCTCAGGTCACAACCTGCTGACCTTGACTGGTAGATGCAATAGCTCGTTTCAGCATCAGCATGTTTTTGAAACTAGATATCGCTAGTCGTTATGATTTTTATATTAAAACTTATGAAATATAAATTTTTTTCTTTTTACATTTATTAATTTATCTATTTTGTTTGTGCAAAATAAAAAAAAATAATTTCAAACAATAATTTTTTTTTAAAACATAATTTTCATTAGGCTTAACATAGACAAACATTTAACATGGTGTGACATGCGACTGAGAAAAATTTCAACATGGGATAGGTATGATATCTGGCTGTAGGGTATGTATGATCAGTCTTTAGGAAGAAGTTATTTGCAGAGAATAATAACCCAATAGTTTATAATCAAATTTATTATCCCATTCTGAGTCTCTTATGTTATATTGCTGTATCTTCTAACAACTGAGTCTAGTTCTTTATAACTAGTTGTAATCTCTATGTATATTGTAAGGTCTCGTTTTATGCAGTGGATACGTTCTACAGAAAAGTGCATATAAAAAATTCGCATAAAAAAAGACTTTACTTGCCTTGAAAAAGTAGGGATACGTTCCGTAATTTTCTAAAATCACATAAAACCAAAACAATGAGTTAAAATTAACTTAAAACTGCATAAAAAAGTTTGCAGAAATTAAGAGAAATAGGCTGCTTAATAAATTACTTCGAATGTCTGAAAGAAATTCATATAAAATTTAATTTCAAAACAATTACAGTTTATACCTTTCAATGCGAAACTCAGAATGATGTAATAGCGACTTGTCGATGGTAAGTATCATGTACAAGGGGAATCCCCGAATTGCAAAAGCTCACTCTAAAAACAAATCACTGACATCTGGATGTGAAGAGTTAATTAAAACCCCTTTAGTTCCTCGCCCGAGTTAACTCGGGCAGGTTACATAGCGTTACATAAAACACGGTCCTTAAGGCCATTTTTGAAATTTTTTTTTGAATTTTTGGAATGTTTTTTAAGTCTCCAAATTTTTTAAAAATATTTAAAAATATACGGCCAGCTAGTGTTCACCCTACTTTAAACCCTTGTCCTCCCGCGACGTCTATGAGAATGCCCCGGGAAATCCAACTCCAGCTGTGTTCAAGGTCATCCAGCTGTGTAAACAATGACTCATCAGCGTCAGATTTCACAGAAAGGCGAGACAAAGGAAGTTAAAATTTGAAGCTTTTTCTTCAAAATTAACGCATTTCTTTCTTTTTTTTCAGTTTTAAGTATTTTTTATGTTTAATTACATTTATATCAAAAATTGCTAGGAACTAAAGCGATTAAGGTAGATCTAGCTGTCCTTTACATCCATAAACGTTATATGTCAGTGGAACAAATGGAGTGAGCTTTGAGCGTTCCACGATTTTTGGAGACTGTCTATACGCGGGCTTCCTAAACAAGCCTATATGTACGTTTGTCCAAGAAATTTTTGGATAAAATACAAACCGCACAACTTCAAAATCGCATAAAAATAATCCGCATAAAAAGAGACCTTACAGTACTCGGATTAAATTCACTAAAATTTGCTTTTCCCCCTCTTCCTAGCATCATCATTATAAATCAATTTATGTTGACTTTCTACTGGTACATGGTACAATGACCAATGACAATATCCTTTAACCTAATCGATGTTGAAATTTTTATTTGTTGCCTGTGACACCATGTTGAATTTTCGTCGATGTTAAGCCTAATTTTTTTTTTTAAAAATAATAATCGTGGCTACTGTATTGTTAAAAATTATTTTTTTTAATGTTTCACAAACAAAATATATATATTGAATAATATAAAAACAAAAAAATTTTATTTTAAAAGTTCGTTTTAATATAAAAATTGCGATGCAAAGCGACATTTAATATCAAAAACGTTCGGATGTAAACACGGAAATATTCGGGATCGCCCACACAGATCAATGAGGTCAACACAAATATTTTCAGGATCAACGTAGGACAGGCTAATGCAACTCATGATAAAATCTCTTAAAATTTACTGATACATAAGAAAATCTATAAGGGCATAAATTTAAATTTTGTTTTCAATTTTATCTTTTTGTAATCTTCCTGTAAAGTAACTGTAGGGTAGCCTATAAATTCCAAAAACTCATAAAAGAATATAATTGCATCCAGGAATTATAGGAATTTTGTAGGTTAATGTGTTCCTTAGATTTTAAATGATGCTTTATAGTAATCCATCAACATGTTCTCTAAGAATATTCTCAAAATAGCTACTTTATTGAGTTATCAAGTACTGGAAAACTTAATTATAGGGTTTTTTCAAAATATATATTTGATAGCAATTGCTACTTTTTTTAATGTTTAGAGATAAAACTTGCTTGCCAACATAATTTTACTGGACATCACTCAAGTCTTTATATCCTATTGTGCTACTTTTCATCCTTTTCTACAGAAGTATTCAATAAAATGTGTAAACTTAAATTTTTGTATTCCAAATATAACAAACAATTGATGCCAAAGTTTTTCATTTACTGGGTGCTAATTTCACTAATTTTTTCAGTGTAGCATTGTCTTATCTATCAATCCAATAAGAGTTCTACCAACACTAAGAACCATATTTTGGTATCCCTCTGAAGATGATGTGGTCATCCTCCTCAGTAATATATACCAGAGGTTGACTGGTAAATATACAGATCAAATGACACAATGAATTTGTATTGATTCTAATTACAATCGAGGGCAAATAATAACTGTATAAAAATTAAAAAATTACAAGATATTTTATATAATTGTTAGTTACTAAAATCCAACAAAAATTAAATTAATATCTTGCTCTCTCAATCTCAAAAAAAGGCATCAATTAATGACACCCAATTTCAGCACCCCCTCGACATTCTTACACATTAATGATTGCCTACTGTACCTTTGTCCCAAACCAGCACTATTATAATAGTAACTTGAATGTAAACTAAGTCATCATGTAAAGGAATTAGAGGTTCACTTAACTGTTCAGTCTCTCAGTTCTTTGTAATATATATTAACAATAAAGATTTCTCTGCTACTTTTTTGGGCTTTATCTGATTTTTACTTATTACCAAAATATATCAATTATCCCTCATTTGAAAGCTTATATCAGAGCATAAATAATTTAAGCAATAGTGTATGATATAGTATATCTAAAATAAAAGACAGATGTCAATATCCTTAATGCAAAATATCTGATCATAATTAATACAATGATGAGACCATGAGAGTAAGATTCCAGTAGATTGCGCACACTTTCTTATGGAGATGCAGGCTAAATCTGCTGAATACCATCAAACTAACCACCAGTACACTTAGATATTAAAATGATATAGTCTAATGGTATACAAACTAGTAATGTATAGTTTATTCTCATCTTTTCACTAGTCAAGTATAATTTGAATGCTGTGCTTTATAAATATCAATTTAATTAGGTTGCATAATGGCACAAGATAGAAGATAGGAAAATAAAATTATGTTGTGAAGTTCTCAGGAGCTGCATATTAGGAACTCACAGGCTGCATGTGGTCTATAACCACAGGTTGCTCATGACTGATGTGATAGATGAGACATAACAAAGTTACTAGACATCCACTACATAACAGCAAATAATTTATACAAATAGTAAACTCTATTCATACCAACATTTTAATATCTAAATTTCAGATTTTTCTACATCTTTTTAAAAAATAATTTAAAAAATATAAAACTTAACTTGCAATTTACCTATATAGTATATAGTGTGTATGAAGCAGTGAACACACCTTATATTAAAAAAAAACATTAGAATGTAAAATTTTCTTACTTTGATACTGGCACCAGAAGAACTTATCATATCACGTATTGTACTTCCTCCCGTACCTATGATAGCACCTACTGCTGTATTTGGAATATATAAGTACACAGTTTCCTTTTGTGAATCTTGTTGTTGTGGTGAACTAGAACCATGAGGATACATCATAGGCATATATGATGGTGGTGAATTATACATGCTATAAGGTGGAGTTGCTGGCCCTCCACGTCCAGGTGGATAACCTGCAGCACCTAATGTAGACATCATAGCCATTGGATGAAGTCCAGGAAACATTAATGCTTGAGGTGCCATCGCAGCTAAGTCATTTTCATAACTTTGTCGTAACTTTGAACTGATCATTTGTTCTGCTTTACAAATATTTTCTAAACTTCCCAGGATGGTGATAACTCGTTCCAAATTGAAACTGTTGACATCATGAATGCTGCTGTAAAGCAATCAATAAATTAAATTTACTTTGATTTATTAAAAATTCTATAAATCCATTTACAAAGTAATGAAATTAAAAGGTTACATCTTATTCTTAAAACATCTTAATTCAAACTAAAAAATATTTTTAAACGAAAACTTTTGAAGTGTCTTAAAAGAAAGGTCTAAATAATATAAAATTTATTCCGTAGAAAATTCTAAATTTTAAGTATTACTTTCAAAAACTATATTTTATTACAACAATCAATCAATTATAGGTTTTTCTCAGAATATATTATTAAAGTGTAAAAGAAATTACAATTTTGTACACTTGCACAACAAACTAACACACAGCAAAAGTAACTTCAACACATTAGATACACATACCCTTGATTGCCCATCACTGTCACTGCTACAGAAAGACATTGCACATCTGCTTGACAAGAAGCATATGGCAAATAATTTGAGCCATTTTGCCAGACCAGTTGTTCATGGTATATAGTTTGCAGGAAATTTGTCTCGATGACTGTAGACAGCCATGATGACAATGTGAGATACAAAGTTCTGAAGAATATTACTAGATGGCACCATACAGCCACAGTGTGGACAAAGTGACAAGGAATGTTTTATTATAGTAATTCCAATACTCAAACCTCGACACAAAAACCTTTAAAATGCAGCTGTTTTATTCAATTTGCTTTATTCAGCAGATTTTTTTTTGTTCTTGACAAAGGCCATTCAAACTGGTTGAAAATGTTAAAAAATTGAATAAAAAAGCTGCTTTTTAAAGGTTTTTGTGTCAAGGTTTGAGTATTAGTTAAGTACAGTTAGAGAAGAATAGTAATTCCAAGTCCTGCATTTTAAGTTGTGATAGTGTGACTATCAAACTATAGAAACAGTTTTAAAGAACATTAATTCAATAACCTAAAAACCAGCAAAAATCATCACTCGCTTGTCAAGCAAACATTTTCATCCACTTTCAATAGACATCTTTAGGCTAAAGATCGAAATATAACTGCACAATTTTCAAATGATCTGGTTCATGTGTACAGTAATACCCTGAACTTACGCGATAGGTAGGACCGAGCAATAACCGCGTAAGTCGAATTCGCATAAGTCGGGGTATAATTTCACAATTTGTGTAAAATCCAAGTCGGATGTATGTAAGCTAATAAATGTTCTCGTTAATCTTATCTCATTATTTGATTTGTTCATGGTTACAAGAAATCACCATATAGAGTCTCTCAAGTCTCCGTAGATATAACAAACACAGAAATAAACACCACAAAATAAATTGTAGCTATGTGTCAATTCCACGTGACACGTCCGAACATGTAAGCCGAACAATAGTGTGGGGAGAGTGAGTAATCAAGAGTGCATGGCACTCAAACAAAAGACGAATCGACGAGATTTGAAAATCGCGTAACTCCGAGTTCGCGTAAGTCGGGGTAGCGTAAGTCGAGGTATCACTGTATTGTTGCCCACTGATTGGGGAGATGATTCGAATGATGTACAAAAGGACAGTATAATCTGATTCAAATATTTGAGCATCTGCTGATTGATGGAGACTGTCCCCATATGAATGTATAAATGCTGGTGTTTAAGGGAATAGAGGAAAACTTTCCACATATTGGGGAAGTTTCTGGATTTTGTGGCCAAAAACGTTCAAATAGTAAAAATTTGTTTATTTTTGTTTAGGTGTTATTTTGTTTTGTTCAAGTATAGTTCCAGTTTACGTGTGCAGTTGTTGTTTTTATTGGGTTTACACTAATTATACAATAAAATGTGCAAAAGCTGGAACCTGGCAGGGCAATTTTGTTTTTCCATGTTTTACGGGTTTTCTGTTATTGATAGGATGTAGTACTATTTAGATTTGCTCACACAAATCTATGAACTTGTGATTGTCATTTATTTTAATAAAATATTTGATTTTTCATCTCTAACTTTGTAAAAGGTAAAAACCTTAGTTTTTAAAATTATAGAATTATAAAACTATTATGGATGATGATAATTACAAAAATTTATGCAGATGCAAGATACTTCAAATATTTTTATATTTAAATTTTTGATTCTGTAATAAATTATGATAAATTTATTTTCTTAATGAAATATTAAAATCATACCTGGAAACAGTTATTTTGGTATCAGTTTGTCCCATAATTCGTTTAATAGTATTTCCACTTTTACCTATAATTCGACCAATTAAATTGTTGTGTGCCAGAAGTTTCAAAGGTATTTCTCTGTAATAATATGTAACTTTATAAAAACTTAAATCACATGAAGTATAAAAAAGTAAATATTTTAATTCTGATCTGAATGTAACCAACACTTTTAATTAATAGTAGTCCACTTATCTTTTTAACAAAATTTCTCTTTAAAAACTTACCCTCTATTTGTATTATTTGCTTCTTGTTGCATCACTTCTAAAATTTTCTGACAAGCTAATGAACAGTTTTCAGGATTACCATAAATTGTAATAACCTATCAAAATAAATGTAGTTTAAGCAGAGTTTATATGTATAGAAAATGTATTTATTACACAAACGTTATAATTATACAGTAGAGAGTCGTTTATCCAAATCAATTGGGGACTGAGGTTTTTCGGATAACCGATTTTGTACGAAAAAATATATTAACCTATCCCACATTGAAATTTTCTTCCGTTGAGTGTTGCTTTGCATTAAAGTTTCGCCAATGTTAAACCCAACGTAAACTTTTTAAAATAATAATTGTGGCCATTGTATTGTTAAAAATTATTTCTTTACTTTTTACAAACAAAATAAATATATTTAAAATATGAAAACCAAAAAAATATACTTTAGAAGTTAATGTAGTATCAAAAACATTCGATTCAGCACAACACACAGTCCTCAGAAAAACACTACACGAAAGTGCCAGTGCTGCCAGCTAAAACAAACAAATGGAGCAGCTCAAGATATAGACAAAGATTGCAGCGCCACAGCACTAGCGAAAATTTAAATTTGCCAACTGGAATTCTTTCGGATAACTGACGTTTCAGATAAACGACGCTCTACAGTATACATATTTACAAGAAAACTAAAGCAGCAGTTGTATAATGTCATATCATAATGTGCAAATATCATTAACAATGTGAGTTACCTTTAAAATTTTTTTCCCCAACCAAAAATATTTTGCCATATGCCAATTACAAAACTAATCAGTTGTGTGAAGTAACAGATTCTAGTTATTTTATGAAAACCATCTTGGGAAGAACACTGATTCTAAGTAGTCAATTGACTAGCAAAATATTTACTCTAATCAATAAAACAAAACTTTAAAAATAATTGAACAATGGACCAGTATACTGCTGAGAATTATAGTGCAAGTACTTTTTAGTTAAAATATAAGAAAATTTACAGTAATGCCAACTAACATTACATGTAGTCAACCATCTAAAATCTAATCCTGAAAGAATACTGAATAATAAATGCTTCATTGCAACCGACACAATTTCTTATAGTTAGTCAAAACAAAAAAAAAATGATGACTGACTTTACAGTAATGAATAGTATAGTAAAATCAGTTCTGGTAGATCAGTCAATTAGGTTGAATAAAATCGTGTGTACACTGATTTCTGTAATGCCCACTTAAAATCTAAAATTTTTAGATGTCACAATTAATAATTGCTTCTTACATCGTCACAATGCAGTGTTGCAATTTTTAATCATTTTAACAGTAAAATATATGCTCTCCATATCAAATTAGTAATGTCTTGCCCCTGTAAATCATACTTTTCCATTAGCAATAGTGTCTTGCCAGTCATCTATCTAACATCTTTTAGGGAAAAATTTAATTAAAATAATGCAACTTCCAGTTTGCACCAGAAGTTTGTATTTAGTTACTTGAGGCCTCATGCTCCCTAATCTTTCCATATCTGTCCATGTTCTTGGCTTTCATTTATTTAACTCCATTCTCAAGATTAAGGAAAAGCATTTGAACAACAGTGGGAATTTATAGGTCTACAATTTTTTCAAATTGTGGCCCAACAACAATCTCCATTTATTTTAATGTGAATATTTTGATTCTGAACAGTTTAAAGCTGACATTAAAAAAGTGAATGTCTTAGATGAAAACTGATACTTCTCAGATTTCAGATCACTCAAGTAATTTAGAAATTTTTATTAACACATTCTTCCTATGAGACAACATTCACAAGATATATAATTTATTCTTATTCTTGAATTCCATCAACACATGCATNAATTACTGCCTGTCTTTAAAAAAAAAAATCAATTTTTCTTAGATTAAAAGCACTTTTCTTCTTCCAAAACAGTCTTTCTACACAAATATTTCTTTATATATCAATAAAAGTGTCATCCCTATTTTACAAATAGACTCATTTAGTTTGCACCTGTTTAATCAAATTAAAGATTTCAGCTAAGTTGGCCAGATAATACCTAGGATTTTTCACATCAACAATTTGTTCAATTTCTTGTTTGATATCATTTAACTATTCATTGTTATGAAACTACTGCAGCAATATCATCTATATATATGAAATGAAGATATCCAACAATTCTATGCATGGAAAGCTAGAACTTCTGTAAATAAGTAATATAAAATCTTCAACACTTTTTCTAGCAATTTTCTTTAATCGAACTAATGTTTTCAGCTATATTTAATGGCCTTCCTCAGGTTTGAGAATATTTGGAACATCAGATATTCGAAAATTTGTTGTCGTTCTAATGACATCATGGTTTTTACAAATAAAATAGTAAAATACATAATTTGAACAAGTAATATAAAACCTTTGACACTTTTTCTAGCAATTTTCTTTAATTGAACTAATGTTTTCGGCTATATTTAATGGCCTTCCTCAGGTTTGACAATATTTGGAATGCAAGATATTCGAAAATTTGTTTTCATTCTGATGACGTCATAGTTTTCACAAAAAAATTTTTTCTTTTAACAAAATTCCTTTTAAATTACAATCATTAAATATACATGGAAACAGAAAAAATTTAAACACAATTAATTAATAAATGTAAATGGATAACAAATTAGAGTTAGGTATGAAAAGAAATTAACGTATATGACGTCAATGTTTTTACAAAATTATTAAAACACAATTAATTAATATGTAAATGGATAACGAATTTCAGAGAATAACTATTACCAACAGGATTAAAATATTTATAAATTCGTATAATTGCAATGTCATATATTGCGAGAGATAGATAAGTTAGTCCACTTCCTTTAGGTGGATGTCAATGAGTGACTGCCAGGCCATAGATAGTGAGTCTGCATCTCTGCTGTTAATGCAATTTTCTTTGAGGGATTTTGCAAAGATTTCCAGTGTTTCTATTGTTCTTAGCTTGCTGTTATTGCGTATTGATATTATAATCTTAGCTTTCATCCTATTTAGCCGTTACACCTGGCTTGCTTGCATATTGGGCTAGGGTGGTACTAAACTTATTCTGCATATCATACTTATGCTCCACTATCTTTTTTGCTAATGATCTGTTGGTTGAGTCTTATGTATGTTAATTTTTTGCTCCTATTAAATCTGTTGTCATCCAGCAGTACTGAGTATATTCTAGGTTTTCTGGCTTTGTTGCATTTATCTTTGCTATTAACAAGAAGTTTATATACTGACGGGTTACATTTGTAGGATAGATCTACTTTGACCTTCTTGGCTATGATTTTATAGGTTTGACTCATTCTATAATCAAAATCAACTACTATGCATTTTCTTTGCTGTGCTAGAGATCTGGAATTCACGACTTCTGTTTCTACATTGCCTTGTATTTTGTGAACTAGCCTTTCTATTAATTTACTGCTGTAACCATGGACTATGGAGATGTGTTTTATGCGTTGTACTTCTTGTAATGCGTCCTTGACATTAGAGGAATGGGTAAAAGCTCTTTGGATCAGAGCCCTGTACGCTGCTATTTTATAAATATATGGATCGTTTGATGATGAGGGGATAAAGACAGATTGTAGGTTAGGCTTATGGTATACTTTTGTAGCTATGCAATCATTTCCCAGGTGTATATGGAGGTCAAGGAAATGGGCCGTCTTATCACCTCCTTGATCTAATTTTAATGTAAGCCCAAATGGGTTGTTATTGATAGCCTGCAATAGCCTATCTATATCTGGCTTAGATCTCCAAATAATAAGAATGTTATCGACATAACGTGTGTATAATATGATTTCTGAGCTGAAATTTTCTAGGACTTGGCACTCCAATTTTCTAACTACTAATTCACAGAGGTCTCCAGATAGGGAGCTAACCATTGAAACTCCTCTTTTTTGAAGATAGATTTGCTTGTTGAAAGAAAAATGTATAGCACATTAGATGGGCTAACTCTAAAATATGGTTGTGATGCTTGGGCCTGGATGGTACTGTTTGAAAAAGGAAATCTCTAAGGGCACAGAAGCACAGTTCTAATTTAATGGAAGGATACATACATCGCTTCAAAGTCCAGGACAATAAAATATTTGTGATCTGTTAAAGTAATACTTTCTTGTGTAAAGGTTCCTCTTCACCAGGTACTGGTACAATATATATAAAAATAGATTCACAATAAACCTTTGGGTAATCAATAAAATATTTATTTGAAAAAACAAACATTTTCAACCGCATTCTTCAGCCTTCTTCAGGTTAAATGTTCCGAGATTCTAAAAGCCGTTGTGCTTAAAGATTTAAAAGTTTTGGAACATACACAACTCATTATGCGCATGCGTATCAAGCATTGCATAAACAAAATATATTTACTATTTTACATACGCATGAAATGGTGGAAAACACATTAAATAGAGTGGTGGGGGCCTTCTCCTTCAAAAACAAACTTCCAAGCTGTAGAAATATTAATCGCATCCTTATAATTGATGCAGTTATTGCGTAACCCCGCTTTATATATTTCCAGATTTTCTAGTGTTCATGTGTGTTCCCTTCTGTGTGAAAGTTTAATGACTCGCGCGTTATGTAAGTCGGCACTTATACCCGGGGTGGAAGCATAAGTTGATAGGGCAGGCAGTGGTGCATCTGTTATGATCAATGTCATATTTGTGTTCGCGTATATGCTTATCGAGAGAGCGTATCGAGGAGCCAATATATACAAGGTCCCTTTAAAATCTATGGTCCCTTTTTGAAGGAGAATGGCCCCACCACTCTATTTAATGTGTTTTCCACCATTTCATGCATGTGCAAAATAGTAAATATATTTTGTTTATGCAATGCTTGATACGCATGCGCATAATGAGTTGTGTATGTTCCAAAACTTTTAAATCTTTAAGCACAACGGCTTTTAGAATCTCGGAATGTTTAACCTGAAGAAGGCCGAAGAATGCGATCGAAAATGTTTGTTTTTTCAAATAAATATTTTACTGATTACTCAAAGGTTTATTGTGAATCTATTTTTATAGTAATACTTTCTAATTTAGCAATGAGTTAATGAGTATTCAAAATGGTGTAATTATATTCTTTTAAATGGACTCTTAAATATAGCCAAAAATGTTAGTATCATTAAAGAAAATGCTAGAAAAAGTGTCAAAGGTTTTATATTACTTATTTACAGAAATTCTAGCTTTTCATGCATAGAATTATACATATTTTGAAACTATTTTGTTGATAATTTTAAGCCAGTTACATGGAATTAGACCAAAAATCAAAAATTTTTTTGCAAATAAAATACCATTTAAAATTTTAACAAAAAAAAATCAAAGTACCAAAAGCTGCAGAATTAAATAAAAAACGTGTTTCAAAACATACTACAGTCAACCCCCTATAACACAGTAGATACGTTCTGGTTTTTATGAATCCATTTTCTATGAGTCCAGCCAATCACAACCCGGCACATATGCAGTTTACGGACTACGGCTGTTTGAAAGGTTTCTCCCATAAAATTAATCGATTCTAGACTAATTTGACTCAACATTTCCAAAATACGTATAATTTTTTGGGAATAATCCATATAAACTATGCTATAAACAAAAAAATTGTAGGATTACTTACCGAACGTGCACCGTACAACTACACCATTGCTTAAGCTTGTTTTCGCCGTGGAGCTTGTCATCGAATGGCGCTCGCGTGCTTCCTGATAAATTATTTTTTTTGCAAAAAATTCACTGAACTTTGGAGACATCATTAATATAAATATAATGTTTATGGACATTAAATAATAAATGGTTTTTAGTAGGTCTGCTGTTTGTTTAAACTCAAAGGTTTGTGCAATATCCGCTATTAGTCTAGATTCGACCAATCCTGTTGCGACAAGAGTCGGCGATGACGTTTTACCAAATTATAGGAGTTTTTTTTTTAGTATGTTTGTTTGAATACTGTCGCAATTTTTTCGATGATATAGGAATCAGAACTATAGGAACCCATGTTATAGGGGTTGACTGTATATACAAACATAGTCAGTTACTGACAGTATATTTTAGGCTAACAATATGACAGTTTTAGGCTAGAAATAAAAAAAAATGACCAAATCCACAAGTGAAAAAAGTTTGGAATAAGATATTATTCAGTGAAAGTTTTAAAATAATAAATTTAAGATTTCAGCAATATAGCATTCAATGAGCTTTAGTTGCCGGCTGTTTAATTTATTTTACATATTTAATCATTTTAGCAGAAAGTTCTATTACTTCCTCATTTAAAGTTTCATCCTATTGCCAAATTGTACTTCCTTCCACTTTCTCACTCACTTAATTCACTCAAATATTGACCCATAAATTTTTAATGCACAGAACTTCTTCACTGGTATTGATAATGGTATAGAGTAAAAAAGGAGTTTCTTTACATATGTAAGCATTTTTGAACATCTCATGAAAATTATCCAATTATTTTAAAGCATATAGTCACTGATAAAAAATTCTAAGTTTGTAATCTCTAATCTTTAAAACACAGAAAACATTTAGTAAGCACTTGTTAGGATATGCTGATACCCAACAGATCACTTTTATCAATCTAGATATAGCAGGGAGATTAGTGTCAACAACCACAGATTATTTTCAAAAGAGCCACAAGTTGTTGACATGAATTAAGCATTATTCAGTACATTACACAATATTAAAAAAAATCATGCACAGTTCAGAATACTTAAAAATTCAATATTAAACTGCGTCACAATTTGCTTATTAAATTAGAAAATGAATTGATTTTAACATTTTATATATATTAATTAGAAAAAAGTATGAAATACTAAAAATAACAGAATATTAAAGCCTTAATAGCACAGAAGTTTAAATATGATGACATCAATATACACTCCTTCAGTCTTATGGACCTCCCTTTAACGGATATTGGAAACAACAGACAATCTGGAGCAGCCAATTCAGTTGAAAATCCTGTTCCCTACAGGCACTTGTGGCAACACTGGACACAAACTGCTGTTTCAGCAGCTGACCGCTAGTTGGTGGACTATCACTTTGTTCACAAGTGAAACCATGCATGCTTCTTATTGTTTCATGATTTTGCCACTTTTGTGTATCTGTGTTTATTTGTTCTTATTTTTTATAATTTTCTTTACCATATCTTCAGGAGGAAGAAAAGAAAAGCAGAAAAGGGTCAATTCGCCTTTCTTTTGTAATGTAATTGTGGATATTAGCCACTGCAAACTTAGTTTCAGAACTTACAATCGGCAACATCAGACAGATGTTGCTGATTGTAAGTTCGATGTTACCGAAAGATTGTAAGTTCGATGTTACCGAAGACAAGATATTGCCGAAAAAGTGGGCAACATCATACAGATGTTGCCCCCTTTTTATCTGTTAAAATGAGGAATAAGTGTAATCAAATTTCAATGCTATAGAATCATTTACCTTTTCAAGAGATCCGGCATTTTCTTTGCGATGTACATCAACTCTAATTATTAAAAAATAATGTTTAAAATCAAAAGAATAATATAACTGTGCAAAATATTTAAATAAAATTGAATATACCTTGCCCTTGACTGCTGAGTTATTTGTCTGATTGTTCCACCTGCACGTCCAATAATTGCTCCTACCATGTCACTCAAAACAAGAATTCTGAAATATAAAAATAATTGTAAGTAACATTCATCAAAATAATTAATTTCAATTATCCTTCATGATGATAATTCCATGTTTATAACATGGAATACTACCTCATCATCAGATTCCACAATTACATTAGAACAGGAATTCTAGAACAGTTTTTAAAAATTGTTTTTTATTTAAAATAAAAAGTATTCAAAAAGTCAATTCTAGAATTCTTGTTCCAATCTATAATGGTAGAATCTGAAGGGAGTGTCCTGAAAAACATTTAATTCCACAAATAAAACAACAGTCTTTATAGCAGAGTTGACTTTTTATTTAAGGCTATTTTTTTTTTCTTTAACAGTTTTGCATATTGAAGCAGGTGTGTAGCCTCAAATAAAAGAACAACTCTGCTGTAAAGATTTGTGTTCTTTAGTATTACAAAAGGACAAAATATGAAGACATTGTTTCTTCTAATTGTGAATATCTATATATTTTATTATTATCCTCTCCATTATATTTATTAAATATTTTTTAATGAAATATTCACTTATATAATAGATCATGAAAATAATATGACTATTTAATTATACTCAGTGAACTAACTCAAATTTTTACTACTGCTTTGGTTTTTCAATGATCAAAACATCAGATGTGATGCAAATATAAAAATTAAACTAACAATTACAACAGATTTTCCCTCTTTCAAGTGAGAATAAAAGAAATCTGGGAATAAAAAATACACAAAATATACAATTAGATAGTTGTCAGATCAAGAGATTCTGTGAGTGCTGAAGAAGTAACTAATCAGTGTTTATTATAAAACAGAAAGAATGTAATTTTAAAAATGTGTGTATCAGCATGTCTATTTTCAACAGTTATAAGCTATTGTACAGTACATAAAAATAACTCTATTGATAACTTACCTGAGTGGAAAATCTGAAGGACGTAATGAGGCAGAATTTCCTGGAAATGGAAAAGGATGAAAATTTCCACGCCCACGTGCCATTCTATTACTGCGGCCTTGATCCATATAAAAGTCTACTTTCAGTAATACTCCTTCATATTCATAGCCATTTAATTGAGCAAAGGCTCTAAAATATAAATTATAATTTAGATATATAAATAAGTTTATTACCAAACTAATTTCATATAAAGTTTTCTTAAGTTTACTGTTTTTCACTTAATAGATACTTTAAGGATGCATTTTCATTATTACACATTTTATTTTAATCATATTTTAAAAATTACTACTAGAAATATAATAGAATTATAATGCTCAGAGCTTCCATTATACAAGTGAACTTGAAACAATTTATAAAATCAATTAAAATATTAATACAAAAAGAAATAGATGATAAATGAAGGAAATTTTTAATAAATAAATAAATAAAGATATAGATAATTATTTGGAAGCAAGTAGTGTAGCAGTTTCCACAAAAATGGAAAAAAACAAGTTCTGTGCAGTGATAAAACACTTTTATTTAAAAAAGTGGGCAGTTGTTCAGATCAAAAATGGAGTTTGATGAAGTTAATGGAGACTCTGAACCAGTATTGAGGACTGTTTAGTTCTGGATAAGTGAGTTTAATTAAACATGGTTGGACATGCACTAAAGATGAAGTGCACTCTAGATGTCCAGTTGAGGTAACCAAAACAGAAATCATTGGAAAAGTCCATAATATCGTCATGGAAAACTGCTAGTAAAAGTGCAAGAGACTGCTGAGACTGTAGGTATCTCAACTGAATGAGTGCACAATATCCTGCATGAAATATTGCAAATGAAAAAGCTGTGTGCACAATGGATGCTGTGATTGTTGACTGTGGACCAAAAACACATGCAAAAGGACATTTCAACTCAGTGTTTGGCAATGTTTAACCACAATCTGCAGGACTTTGTGTTGATTTGTGACTGGATTTACCACTATATACCTGAGTTAAAGCAACAGTCAAAGCAGTGGACATGAGTGGTGAAAGTGGAAAAAAAAACAGTAATCTATTATGCAACATTACTGGACCATTTGAAAAAAAAAGCTGAAATAGACAGCTAAGATTGGGGCATACAAAAAAACAAACACTCTTTCACCAAGACAATGCACCATCCCACAAATCAGCAGCTGCAATGGCAAAATTGCATGAATTATGCTTTGAATTGATTCCTCATCTACCCTATTCTCCAGACTTGAACCCATCAGACTTCCTGTTTTCAAACTTAAAAATTTGGATTGATGGAAAGAAATTTTCATTGAATAAAGATGCCATACTGGAATAAACGTAAATAATATAAATAACACCCTTAACTATCCAACAAAAAAATGTTTAATATAACAAAATATTATATTAACTTTTAATATTGGTTCAACTGAAGATGGCCATTTAAGAACGGTTGAAAGCATTTTTGAATAAAGATTTCATTGAGGCTGTCAATATGTATTTTGCAGACCCCGAGAAAAACTATTTTCCAATGAATCAAAAAATTGGAAAACATGCTGGATCATGAGGACTACACACTTGAGCCCTCAATGGAGATTATGTTGAAAAATAAAATTGCTTTCTTTCAAAAATCTGTGCTTAACTTGCTTTTTTACCATACTTATCAAATGATTCTCATATTTTTATGATTTACATCACAAACCTAACGTTTTTTTTTATTTATAAATTTATTACTACAGCAAAATAAAGCAATGCAATATCTCAATGTGTCAATTATTTTGCAAAAGGAATTGTTCTTTAAGATTCAAGGAAATTACAATAGTAATTTTATAAAATAATTTGAAAGTGTGCAGGTTATATGCCAATATTAAATTCCAACAGCGAGTTAATGATGATTCACACTAATTATTTTCTGTTAAAATTTTTTCTGAATTATTATTATTATTGTTGTTGTTATGTTTTGTGAGTTATACTCGGTTCACACCAGTGACTGTGTACTATGCCAGACCAAAGTCAAGGCATAGCAACCAAAACAAAACTAAAATTAAATAAGTGTGTCAGTGTGCACGTCTGTATTCAGGAATTTCCTAACAATGTGGCATATATTCAATATAGTGGCCTTTTGTAGTGTGATGTATGTATTTCTATTCAATTGTAATGTTCCCAGGCTTTTATGTAGTGTGTGTGGTATCACACCTGTACAGGAAACAACAACAGGTACAATAAGCACCCTTACCATCCTCCACAGATGCCTTATTTCGTGGGCGAGTTCTGTGTACTTGCTAATTTTTTCAGTGCATGTGTTTTGTACATTGTGAGTGTTTGGAATGGCTATGTCTATAATGTATGTGATTTTATTGTGTTTGTCAATGAGTGTGATGTCTGGTCTGTTGTGGTAAATTGTTTTATCTGTGATTATGGCTCTGTCGTAGTACATTTTGTGCGTGTTGTTTTCCAATACTGTCTGTGGAATATACTTGTAGTATGGTTCGTGGATGTCTGCCAATTTGTGTTTCTTTGCAAGCTCTTGGTGTATTATATTTGCTACTTGATTGTGTCTATGTAAGTAATCTGTCTGTGCCAAGAGCTTGCAACCAGAAGTGATGTGTTGTATAGTTTCTGGCATGATGTGACATTTTCTGCATGTGTCATTTGTGAGTGTTGTATCTTTGAGTATGTGTTTTCTGTAGTTTTTAGTATTTATGACCTGATCCTGTATGGCAATCATGAATCCTTCCGTCTCCCCAAAGAGGCATCCCCGATCTAACCAGCTGTTTGACGCAGTTTTGTCAACAAAATCCTGGGCCAGGTCATAAGGATGCCTGCCATGGAGTGCCTTTCGAGCCCACGATTGCTTGATGGTGTCTATGCTTTTTATGTGTTGTGTCATGTCTGTATGATGTGAGTGTAAGTTTAATGGTGTGTTATTTGAGTCTGCTAGAGTTACTGCTTTATGTAACTGTGATGTTTCTTGTTTCTTGTAGAAAAACTCTCGCAGTGACTGTATTTGTTTGTAGTGAAGGTTAACTATGTCAATCAGGCCACGTCCGCCTTCTTTACGTGGAAGGGTTAATCTTTCTGTGGCGGATTTAGGATGATGTTGTTTATGCTTAGTAAGTGTTGTTCTTGTTTTCCTTTGGAGTTGCTCGAGATCTGTGTGAGTCCAATGTATAACTCCAAAAGAGTATGTGAGTACTGGGATGACATATGTGTTTATTGCTTTAACTGTGTGTTTTGCATTTAACTGTGTTCTAAGTATAGCGTTTAACCTACTTTGGTATTCTTTAATTAATCGTTGCTTTATTTGTGTATGTTCTGTTAGTTTGGCCTGTTGGAATCCTAAGTACTTGTAGAACTCGCCCTCTTCCATGGATTCAATAACGTCTCCATTTCCAAGTGCAAAATCTTCTTTCTTCAGGATTCCTTTTTCTATGTGAAGTTTTTTGCATTTGTCTAGGCCAAACTCCATTTGTATGTCCTTAGTGTATGAATGTGTGATTTGTAGGAGTTGATGAAGTTGTTTTTGTGTGGATGCATAAAGTTTTATGTCGTCCATGTACATGAGATGTGAGAGTGTAAACTGTGTTGTTTTTTCATGTCTGATATTGTAGCCATAATGCGTGTTGTTTAACATGTTGGATAATGGATTCAGGGCTAGGCAGAACCAGAGAGGACTCAAGGAATCTCCTTGAAAAATTCCTCGCCTAATGAATATTTCGTTTGTTTGTATGGAAGTGTTACTAACCCTGAGATGTAGTGTTGTTCTCCAGTGCTGCATAGTGTTTTCGAAGAATGCAATGAGTGATGGATGTATTTTGTACATGTGTAGAATATGTAGCAGCCAACTGTGTGGAACACTGTCGAATGCTTTTCTGTAGTCTATATATGCCATGTGTATGTTTCTGTGTTGTTTGTGTGCTTGCCGTAGAATGACTGAATCTATGAGTAACTGTTCTTTGCATCCCCTGTGATTTCTACGGCAACCTTTTTGTTGTTCTGTAAGAATGTCGTGTTCTTCAACATGTTTGTATATTTTGTTTGTGATACAGGATGTCAATAATTTGTAGAGTGTTGGAAGACATGTAATTGGTCTGTATTGTGTGGGGTCTGTGGTTTTGTTGTTTTTAGGTTTCATGTAGGTGATGCCCTGAGTAAGAAATTTTGGCATGTCTTGTGGATTGATGATGATGTGTGTTAGATGTTTAGCTAGTTCCTGGTGCAGTGATGTAAACTTTTTGTACCAGAAATTGTGAATGTTGTCTACACCAGGTGTCTTCCAGTTGTGTGTTCTGTTAACAGCGTAGCGAATGTCGTGTATGTTTATTTCAGCACAGGGCATAGTTGGTATGTTGTGCAAGTTTCTGTTCTCCTCCTCGATCCAGCCTGCATCAGCATTGTGTGTAACAGCATTGGACCAAAGAGAAGACCAATAAGTTGTGAGTTCTTCTTCTGTTGGTGTGCCACTGTGCTGTGTATCAGTGTTTGTTTTGGTACTGATTTGTCTGTAGAAAAGTTTTTCATTGTTTGTGAATAATTTATTTTGTCGTTTTCGTAATGTACATGTTTTGTATCGTTTGAGTTCATTATTATTATTATTATTATTATTAAGTGGGCTCAAAAGACACTCCATGGCAGGCATCCTTATGACCTGGCCCAGGATTTTGTTCACAAAACTGCATGAAACAGCTGGTTAGATCGGGAATGCCTCTTTGGGGAGACAGAAGGATTCATGATTGCCATACAGGATCAGATCATAAATACTAAAAACTATAGAAAACACAAACTCAAAGATACAACACTCACAAATGACACATGCAGAAAATGTCACATCATGCCAGAAATTATACAACACATCGCTTCTGGTTGCAAGCTCTTGGCACAGACAGATTACTTACACAGACATAATCAAGTAGCAAATATAATACAGCAAGAACTTGCAAACAAACAAATTATTAGACATCCACCAACCATACTACAAATACATTCCACAGACAGTATTGGAAAACAACATGCACAAACTGTACTACGACAGAGCCATAATCACAGATAAAACAATTTACCACAACAGACCAGACATCACACTCCTTGACAAACACAATAAAATCACATACATTATAGACATAGCCATTCCAAACACTCACAATGTACAAAACACATTCACTGAAAAAATTAGCAAGTACACAGAACTCGCCCAGAAAATAAAGGCATCTGTGGAGGATGGAAAGGGTGCTTATTGTACCTGTTGTTCGCTCCTGTACAGGTGTGATACCCCACACACTACATAAAAGGCTGGGAACATTACAATTGAATAGAAATACATACATCACACTACAGAAGGACACTATATTGAATACATGCCACATTATTAGGAAATTCCTGAATACAGACACTGACACACTTATTTAATTTTTGTTTTTGGTTGCTATGCCTTGACTCTGTTCCGGCATAGTATACAGCCACCGGTATAAACCGAGTATAACCCACTAAATACTGTATAATAATAATGAAAATGAAAATATCAATATCCAATAAAAATAATACTCACTGTTGAGCCTGATCTTGAGTTTCATAAGTTACAACTACACTATACACATCATCTGCCACAGCACCTACATCAATTATACTTTATATTAAAATACTTATAAAAGATAAATAATCTGAACATACAATTTATATTCAATGCATGTCAATGCAATTTTGTATAGTAATAATGCATACAAAAATTTCACACACTTAATTTTAAGGATGATATTCGGAGAAAACATTTTAAATCAGATATAAATTATAAAATTTAAATTAATCAGCATCATTCTAATTTACAATCTTAAAAGATATTTTTTTCTTAGAGTGTCGTCATTTAAGAATCACTGCTCTAAATTTATGACAATATACAGCCAAGTATGCTGCAGATATGAAAGTATTTTAAATATGAAAAACTCATTTGTATAAAGATTAATTACATTCATAATCAATCAATACATAGACCAGGCCCCTAGGTAATTATTATTGCATACCAATTATTCATAATTTAAACACACATTACAATCCATAAATTTTATGACAGGAATTATAAAAATAAAAATGAGAGAAAAATAGTATATAGAAACATGGAAAATATTGTTAATCATATTAAATTTGACCCTTTATTTTTTGCAAATTGGCATTTGAGATCTCTTCAATAAAAAATGTGTGTGGGGCATGCTTTAATATCTCAAGATGGGATTAAGATTAAGAAACAAAATTTGGCATGGTAACTCGTATGCAAGAGGCATTGATGCTATTAAATTTTATCAGTTAAAAGGTTGTGGGATAAGGATAGAGGGAAAAATCACAAGTCATATCTTGAGTGAAATCTGACAATGAAAATTTTGGGGGAAAAAAAAAAAACAAAAAACAACTGCACAGCTTCTTGCTGATTTATGTTTAACAAATCAATATCCTTTAAGTTTCAATTTCAACTTAGAAAATAAAATTCAGAAGGGGGACAAAACCTGGTAAGTAAGGGGAGCAATAGAGTGAGGAATCTTTTTTGTGTCAAAAGTTTATGCATGTTTGCAGCTTGCAAGTAGATACATTATTATGCAACAGGAAAAAATCTTGGAATCAGAATATGATAGAGTAAACACACTGAATTCATTTTAGGAGATAATTCAATAATAATTCAATAATAGTGAAGTTGAGGCCGAAGTTTTAAATGCAAAAACATGTATGTTGGACATTCAGCACTGCTTTCCTGTAAGCAGTGCTGAATGTCCGACGTACGTTTTCGCATTTAAAACTTTGGCCTCAACCTTGCTAATACTTTATAAAATTACACTCACTGTTCTTCTTTTTGATACTAGTTCTTTGTGAACTACAGCCTTAAAGTTGTTTTGATGGAAACTTTTGAAATTTCAATTTTTCTGATCTGGAAGGTATCTTAACAACCCAAAATTCTGTGTCTTGGTTTTACAATCTTAAATGAAACAAAGGTCTTATCTCTCATAATGATTTTGCCAAAGAAATTTTCATCTGCTATCATAATGATGCTCTGGCAAGACAAAACAGCTTCTTTTTCTCAGATATCAAGGCATGCGAGAAAAAACACTTATCTTTCTCTTCCTCAAATCTTCACTCAAAATGAATGAACAGTTTTGGGAATATCCAAAGACTTAACTATCACCTACAATGCTATTTTTAATAATTGTGCTTCATAACTCAGCAATGTTTTCTTTTGTTCAAATCAAAGTGGTATGACCAGTTTTTGTCCTTTACAAAGTTCCTTCCATCACAAACACCACTAAAGGTATTTAAAGTTTCTGTACAAGATAGATCCACTTTCTGAAAAAATGAAATGCATTGCTTTTTAAAGTAAAGGTTAAGAGAGCTTGCTCTATCCCCAGGCCCCCATGAGTTCCCAATGGCCTTGATAACCTAGCAACAATTTACAGTAAACATTATAACTTACAATATATTGTTAGTGTGTTTGGAATTTGTAAGTGAACAGATAATTGATATTACTTAATAAGCACATTGTTTGATACATTGCCATATTACTGTTCTAGAAAAAGTTAAGGAAAAACTTATGGAATGCACTGTGAATATCATATATTTTTAATTCTGTACACTAGAAAATGTTACACATTTTACAACACACCGAAAAACAAAAAAGTGAAAAACCACTGATTTAAGTGATACTTTTTATTTCCTAACAATTCAAATTTCTTCCAGAAATCCTCAAAAACTTTTTTAAATGTTTTAAACAATCATCATCTCCATTTTCAAAATGAATTAATAAAAAACACTAAAAAAGTTGATTTTTCTCTACTTTTTTCATGAAATCTGATATTTTCNTAAAAGGTTGTGGGATAAGGATAGAGGGAAAAATCACAAGTCATATCTTGAGTGAAATCTGACAATGAAAATTTTGGGGGAAAAAAAAAAAACAAAAAACAACTGCACAGCTTCTTGCTGATTTATGTTTAACAAATCAATATCCTTTAAGTTTCAATTTCAACTTAGAAAATAAAATTCAGAAGGGGGACAAAACCTGGTAAGTAAGGGGAGCAATAGAGTGAGGAATCTTTTTTGTGTCAAAAGTTTATGCATGTTTGCAGCTTGCAAGCAGATACATTATCATGCAACAGGAAAAAATCTTGGAATCAGAATATGATAGAGTAAACACACTGAATTCATTTTAGGAGATAATTCAATAATAATTCAATAATAGTGAAGTTGAGGCCGAAGTTTTAAATGCAAAAACATGTATGTTGGACATTCAGCACTGCTTTCCTGTAAGCAGTGCTGAATGTCCGACGTACGTTTTCGCATTTAAAACTTTGGCCTCAACCTTGCTAATACTTTATAAAATTACACTCACTGTTCTTCTTTTTGATACTAGTTCTTTGTGAACTACAGCCTTAAAGTTGTTTTGATGGAAACTTTTGAAATTTCAATTTTTCTGATCTGGAAGGTATCTTAACAACCCAAAATTCTGTGTCTTGGTTTTACAATCTTAAATGAAACAAAGGTCTTATCTCTCATAATGATTTTGCCAAAGAAATTTTCATCTGCTATCATAATGATGCTCTGGCAAGACAAAACAGCTTCTTTTTCTCAGATATCAAGGCATGCGAGAAAAAACACTTATCTTTCTCTTCCTCAAATCTTCACTCAAAATGAATGAACAGTTTTGGGAATATCCAAAGACTTAACTATCACCTACAATGCTATTTTTAATAATTGTGCTTCATAACTCAGCAATGTTTTCTTTTGTTCAAATCAAAGTGGTATGACCAGTTTTTGTCCTTTACAAAGTTCCTTCCATCACAAACACCACTAAAGGTATTTAAAGTTTCTGTACAAGATAGATCCACTTTCTGAAAAAATGAAATGCATTGCTTTTTAAAGTAAAGGTTAAGAGAGCTTGCTCTATCCCCAGGCCCCCATGAGTTCCCAATGGCCTTGATAACCTAGCAACAATTTACAGTAAACATTATAACTTACAATATATTGTTAGTGTGTTTGGAATTTGTAAGTGAACAGATAATTGATATTACTTAATAAGCACATTGTTTGATACATTGCCATATTACTGTTCTAGAAAAAGTTAAGGAAAAACTTATGGAATGCACTGTGAATATCATATATTTTTAATTCTGTACACTAGAAAATGTTACACATTTTACAACACACCGAAAAACAAAAAAGTGAAAAACCACTGATTTAAGTGATACTTTTTATTTCCTAACAATTCAAATTTCTTCCAGAAATCCTCAAAAACTTTTTTAAATGTTTTAAACAATCATCATCTCCATTTTCAAAATGAATTAATAAAAAACACTAAAAAAGTTGATTTTTCTCTACTTTTTTCATGAAATCTGATATTTTCATTTGCTTTTTTTATATAGTAACTTTTAATTTAATCTATAAAAAAACACAGCAACAGTCTTTTGGGCTCATTTATAGAACGATCACCACCACCACCTATTTTATAAGAAAATTTATTCTTTCATGATTTTAGAGCAACAAAGGTTTTTTCTATCACTTTTTCTTATTTATAGCCTTATCTTTTAAGTAATTTTTCTTTGTGATGAAAATCTCTCTCATGCATCAAAGATGTGGAAACAAATAGTCTTTTCAGATGAAAAAAAGTGGAATTTGGATGTACCATCAAATTCATCAAAGATGTCATCTCAAAATCTTGTCAATCCTGCACAGTAAGATCATATTCTAGCAATTTTTGAAATGGAGAAAATGGGAGCTACAAAAGTTATTTTTAAATCAAACTTCCAGCATACTTTTGGTCTGTCAATAGCATTCTTCATACTTTTTTGAAAAGCAAAATTTTTTAGTGTGAAAGAATAAATATATATAATTGTTTATCTTTCCACATCAAATTGCCTTGTCCATTTCAGCTTTGAATCAAAAATCAACTACCACCAATCTTACTATTATACTCCCAAGTTTTTCAAAATTCCAGCAATGTAAGACTTTTTATTTTAAGTAAACCCTTTAACCCAGTACTTTTTAATCTTTTAATTTCAAATTTATATTCAATATTCCATTTCTCTTATATACTGGCTGAAATAATTATATCTTATGAACATTGAAGATTAAAAATTAATGGTGTCAAATTTTGACTTTCACCTTTTTTGTAAATTATCTAGCACATCAGTTGCAGTCTTTGTAACTCACTTTTATATTGGTCAACCATCACACAAGTATTCCAAATCAACAATCTTAGTATAATTTTTAACTCCAAATTAACTTTCAATATACAATCAATTTAAATAAAATCCATCTAATGGAAAAATTAACTGCAAAGATATATAAGGTTAGTGTGACACATTTGTACAATCAATTTAATCTGGAAATTCATAGCAAGATAATGTGGAGGTTAGGAATTGCAATTGCTGGATCCCTCATCCAGCAATCCCAGCTGGATCCAGAGCTGCAGATCTGCAAATACTCAATTTAACTTTCTAAATAATGGTGCAAAAATCTAAGTTGTCGGCATTGCCACTTTGCTACATGCACTATCACTCGGCGGCAAAAGCGACGTTGCCATTCAGTGTGGCACATGCTACACCCTCTCTCTACACCACACTGCTTACCCTTTTACCTCTGT